GCCAAAGGCAGTTCATGAGAGTTTAAGGCGTTAAAAGTGTTAAAACGTAGATCGGACCAGCAAATGCATGTGTAACTCATCGGCACTTCGATCAAGTAGAATTTGCGGATGTTATGAATGTGTCGATAGCCTTTCGTCCCCTCATTCATATCATCGATTTGACAAAAATTCCTTGCTTAGATCTGTGATTGGAAGGCAAAAGCACAAGTCATTGTAAAGTATGAAATCCAATGTAAATGTCATTTGATAGTTCAACGTGAAAGTTGACAAAGTATCTGACTGTGTAGCATTAAATTGATCGGAAGTAAGATAACGGGTTTATGTATGAGTGAAGACTTTAAACTACGAAAAGACTCGATCACAGCAATCCAGTGATGGAACAGTGAACATCAATTCTAGGGCAGAAAACACCAATTTCAAAAAACCATTACTATTCGTAAAATTTCCGCATTGAGCAAGAAAGCTTGCGAATTGTTTTAGTGTCTCCTAGCCGCAAGGAAAGTAGAAAATTCTTATAGAATTGCGGAAGCTCATCTAACATTAAACTTAGTAAAGATTGTCACATTTCCACTACATCCTTTTACTGGAAGTAACTGTATGGTTGTGCAGTATTTTGAAGATTCTCAATTACACCTCTATCGCATCGTTTGTTCGACTGCCTGCGTAAATAAGAGCCAATTTAGCGGTCGTCTTGCTCCTACCAGGTGGGCTGAGCTATGGGCCACGACAAAGTCTCATTCCATCCTTTCTTGTCTAGACACAAGTATTTAACTAAGCCTTATGCCTTCTCAGATCAAGCATAACTCAAAATGCGACTGAAGATTTTGGGAGAGGCAAGTACATTCCCTCAGTCTCACAGTAGTTGATGACTGGCGCAGCTGACTCGTGGCTGCTTGCCGGTGGAAATGTGAGGTCTATTCAGGAGGTAGCTGGGTACGTCGTTTAAGAAAAGAAAGGGCTATGTAATACCTTGCTTATTTGACTGCATTCGCAAGTGGTGGCCTTTTAGTGGCTATC